GATGCACGAAGTATGAGAGCGGACTTAGCAGCAATCTTTCTCTTTTTGAATGTTGTAGGACTATTATCTTCTTGTTCCGAATTTTGCGAAAAGTATCCAAACTACCTTCGCGGGAGAATACACCATTATCAATGAAGATATTCATCAGGAACATAGCGACAACTATATCTGTCACTCGGTCTTCACGTTCTGACAAGGTGCTCGCTCGGATAAGTTAAAAACTAGAATAGAAGTCTCTACTGGGTACGAAACATGATTTGCAAAAACGCAGCCGCAGCGGGAACCGAACCCATGACCTGCATGCTGATGAGCTCATTTGCAGCCAACTTCGACTGCTCGTAACTTCCTTGGCAGAATCGTTTTGCAATTTTGGGTTCCGCAGTTCTAACCGTTGTCCCAGGCTCTATCGATATGTCTAGGTCTCGGCTCAAAGTTCCACGGGGAGTTCAATGCCTTCCCTGGTAAGTTTCATAAAAGAGCACCCTGCCAGAAGTAAAAAAAAAACCAAAACAGAGGTACTGAAGCCCCTTTGTTGAATGGGGAAGAGATTACTATCCGGCAGTGAAAAGCTGCATGACCAGAAGTATTAAATCTTAACTGATATTCAGGGTAGGGAGTAGGCTCAAAAACAAATGGTAACAGGATAAATAGAAAAAATTATTGAAGAATCAATCACGAATCACTTTTAGGAATACAACTGGAGCGGGCAAAATGAACAAACCTGCAGGAGTCGTAACGCTGTCGTCAAAACTCTTCCACTCCAGAGGAGGTATGGGAATTTGTCTACCAGTCTAGAGAGACAAGCATCGGCACAACGACGAACCTAGGAATTGCCTAAGTTCAAATTTGCAGAAATCAAGACGTACTTCACTGATACACTCAAATGAGTACGCAAGACAACAAAAGGATAGAAAAATGGAAAAGAAACCTCCTTAAGATTGTGATTGAACTGTATGAGCAAGAATTGGACATGGTATTCCAGCGCTGACTCGGATGATTCATCCGCTCGACTCTGAAACAATAAAGGATAACAGGAATAAGCCCAAGGGAAGCAACGACATTGCTCAAACTTGTCAAAAAGTTGCTAAGAGGCAACGGGCGATAAAATTTGTCTTCCTCCCTATGCTCGAACGTGTAAGAGCAGGAGTAGAAACCTTGCTGATTTCTCAGCCTCACCTTTTTATGGTTGTCAAGATACGCTTCGAAGACGATCGATGCTCCCGCTAACAAGCACATCCACATACCTCCCTTGTCCTTTCGAATCGTTCTGAAGAAAAAAGAACAGAATGGTAGGACTGGGAAACTAGCGGATGACCTTACTTGTCCTCGAGATACTTAAAGAACTCATGCAACGCCTCCTTGTGTTCAGCATGAATCTGAAAATCGATAAATGTGCGGTTTTCGAACTGGGAAAAGATATGAAGTATCCCCATATACGGAACTATTAGTAACCATACCACTCTCATCTTCTCCATGCGTAGAACCGACAGAAGATAGGTGCACTGAGCGAAATCCATTCGATTCACTATAGGAACGACTTCGGCCTGGTGATTCAGCACTCCACAAACTGTGTTACGGAACTCTTGTAATTCATTCTAGAAAAAATGTAGAAATCCATATGGTATCAATTTTAGCATCGTATGAGCACGAACCGGCGAAATCGTGTCGCCTTTGATTGCGGCGTTGTCGATCAGTTCCGACCGCAGGTTCTCTTGAGCAATGAGTACCGGCGACTTGGTAGCAATTACACAGACCGCGTTGTACCAGTCTTCTGGCCATAATCCTGAAACAAGTCCAAGCTTGTTCTCCACCAGTAAAATGATAACGCAGTACTCACAGAGTCGTAACCAATAAAAGGTTCACACCAAATCAACGACTTCAGATCAGGCCGATCATTTGGAAAGACATATTCATGCACAATCTTATACAAAGTTTGTTCTGGGCTGTACTCCTCCCTCGCTTTCCCCATGTGAATTAATGAATTTTTTTTAGATAGGAAGGAATAAAGATAAATTTGATTAATTTTACAGTAATCGTGACGCATCCGACATTGGTCATATTTATCTT